CAAGGTAGGGGCAAGGGGCAGGAGGCTGGATATGCCTTTTCCAGTTTTAGAGAACTATTCTGTGGGACTGGCAAAACCTGATTCTCTGTGGCTCTATTTCAAGCCAACTGAGTCAAACTAATGTCACCTTGAAGACTTTCGGAGCATTGTTACAATGTCCTTTGAGACCATATCAAAAAGGGCCCCAAATCAATAAGAAGTAGAAACCATAGCTGCAATAGCAATGAGCATAGGATACCAAGAGAAATGCTTGGATGGTTTGTGTACTTGACCTTATTCCTCCAAATCAAGTGTCTCTGGCAAGGCCACTTAACTGAGGACAGTCCCCTGAGTGACTAAGTCAAAGGAAGGATGGAGTGAGGCTGAACAGTTCTGACATTTAAATTGTCATGGAGACAGGGTCCATAAAAGCAGCCCAAATCCTCCTCTCTTTCACCATCACTGTAAATAATTCAGATTGAAAACCCTAGCTGCTGTTTCTTTTCTATTTCTGATGGATCTCTCCCCCCCCCATTGGGGGCATTTAGCCATGAAGTGGTGAGGGAGGATGGCTATGCAAGGCCCCTAGGTTACGGACTTTTAGCCCTGAGAGGTTGCTGAAGAGGCCACGTGACAACTCTGACCTGCGGTCATTTCAGACAGATATTCTGCAGGGAAGATAATGTAACTGGTGTGTGCCGCAGTCTAAGCTTAAGCTCAGCCCATCTGCATTACCATGGCATTATAGAAAAAGGGGCACCTCCTTTTTACAGTGGGGTTTGGGACCTTCTCTGTGTGTCAGTGGAGCAGGGTGAGTGACGTGATTCCTATGGGCCTTTGGAGAAATGCAGGAAGATGAGCCAGTATGATGCGAGACCTCCAGCTGGGAGGAGCAGCGCTCAGCAGCCTCCATGGGGCCAGACAGGGCCCCGCAGGTCAAGGTGCCACAGCATCTGGCCACCACGGCTGGGCCAGCCCAGCTACGGGGTGGAGCTGTGCTGAAGTCACACCCTTACTCTTCTTGGCATGCCTTCATATGGTCCCAGGAGGCTCTAGCTACTGGTGAAGAGCAATTGTCTTTGATTTATGATCTGATTCTGGATTTAGACGTAGAGAAGGCATTTGCAATAAAATAAATTTCTCCTAGTGCTTAGATAGATCACTTTAGGATTCCGTGGATGGGAGGTCGGGAGAGGCATTGTTGTCAAACTGTGCTTGCCATCTTTCATTAGGTTCTCCTGGCTAGCTATAGAGAGCAGACTGGCAGTTTCCAATCGGTGTGCCGAGGCACCTGGTGTGCAGCATACATTTTCAAGCATGCCCTCACTGCCTGACTGTCAGGGGCACTGACCTCTTTTCCTTTAGGTTGTCAAAAAAGTGACAATAGCCAACTTAATAGCCGTCCAGTGTGCATGAATCAAAATTACACTTTTTTTTTTTGTCAGATCAGTAAAAAATATATTTTTTGGTGTGCCGCAGAATTTATGTAATTAGCTTATGCGAGCCATGAGATGAAAAAGATTGGAAATTGCTGGAGCAGACCATTTGTCCTGTGAAACCTGAGACAGGAGCAGGTATCAAGAACGAAGACTTGCAGGACACATGGTCTCTGCAAATGGAACACCCAGCGTCTCCTGAAACCACTGGCCTTGCCCAAGACCACATGTCAACTTCGATTCACGTCAGCTCACATTTCTGGCTCGTGGGAGTTTCTTAACCGGCAAACAGATGCTTTGGACGACTGGGGCTTAAAATAGTTCTGCCTTCCAGATGACACTTCTGACTTTCCCCCCAGATTGAGAGGTCCTTGCTCTGGGCCCTGGGAGGTCGTCGGGGAGGGGGAAAGTAGGGAGGATGCTACCTGGCTCCCGGGTAGCTCCTGTTCTCCTGAGCAAATGGGAGGGCAGGTTCAAGCACAAAAGAAAAAAGGGCAGAGGAACCAGGAGATGTTTTAAGGGTAATTTCCCCGCAGCAGGATGTGGATGCAGGGAGTCAGGTTGCAATCAGGCAGAACCCAAGTGTTCTTTAAGAGAATGTTCCCTTTTTTTGTGTGCCTTGGCGAACTCTGGGTGGAATGCAAAGGTTGCCATGGCAACCCTCTCCCCCCCTTTTTTTTTACAGATTGGTCACATGGGACCCACACACACATTCTGGAAGTCACTGCTAATAGTTCCCATGCTGGGTCCTGTTCGGGGGCCCTGCTTCTGGAGTGAGAGGTGACAGCTTCGGGGGGGGGGGGGCCGCAAGGGCGTCAGGGTCTGTATTTCTTGTCTCTCAGGCAGAGTGCCTCCTTGATCATCCCTGTGTGGCCTGAAGAGAGGGGGGGCCACCCATTCTTGCAACAAGAATGAGCCAAACTCAATTTGTCAGTCACTCAGAATAGACTGCTATGTCTAGTAGCTAAGAGCACAGCGGGAGAGTTGATGTCCTCCCTCTCATTTCCTGCAGAGGTCACCTCCCACTGGGGCTTCAAGGCATGGGGGACCAGGATCGTCTAGAGTCTTCATCCCTGTTGTGAGGACGCTGACAGGTATGGAGCCCTGGAGCGCACTGGTGTACAGGACTGGGGGTGGCCTGGGGGCAGTCAGCACCCTGAGCTGCCTGACAAAGACCATCCAGACAAAGCAGCCGCGGTACTAGTCACTGGGACGAGCTCTCAGTGTCTCAGGAAGGCCACCAGTCTGGGTTGTCCCCACACTGCAGCCTGTGGGACACATCTGAGGTTATCATGGAGGAGGTTCACTTCTAGCCCATCGAAGAGGGTTTTGTGGATTCCTTCATGTCCTCTCTCCCTAGCAACCCCCACAAAGAATGCTCTCCCGGATTTTCTCCGGGGCAGGACGGCTATCTTCCCGGTCTCTGGGAGGGGAAAGAAGTCCTCTTTGTGGGGAGGACTCTGTAGAGAACAGGCTGTTGGTGCCTTTTGGGAACTCTTTTTAATCTCCACCCTGCATGGTGGCTAACCTGCCTTCCAGCAAAGGCTAACCCTCCCATCACCGGGGTCCCGTTCTCCAGCGAGAGGAGGAACCTGCAGACAGCAGCTTCTGAAGAAGTATGCTTTCATAGCCCTCAAGTCCAGCCTCACCTAGAGCATTGCAATCCCCTCCCGTGGGGCACAGTCCTTTAAGAATCGTCCCTGGGGTCTCTATCTAGTCTACTTAGGATCCTGTATCCCCCCACCCCCAGTATAATGTAGTCTAGTGGTTCAGGGGTCCTTCCCACTGAGTGCAATCCAGATAGGGAGGGCCAACTGCTTTGGGCAGGAGCTGATGATGAAGCTGTCCTATTAGTATGCTATGTTTGGACCTGTTCTTGTTCAGGATTCTGATTGGGGGGGGGGGGTATGGTGAGTCAGGCAAGGGAGAGAGGGGAGGCAGGTGTGCTGTGGCAGGGCAGGGTGGGCAGGCAGGCTGGTGCTTTCCTGGCCTGGATGTGTGGGACGCCAGGCATGCTCACAGAGAGACTCTCATGCCCCTGGACTCTCGAAAGCTTCCACCTGCTCCCTCCTCTGTACTATGGCTCAAACCCTAGTTTTTCTTGTGCTCATCATGGATATTCCCAGTCTCCCACGGAAGGGGGGGGGGGGAGTTCCTACAGCTGCCCCCAGGCTGCTGCCTGAAGCGCGTGCAGAGATGAATTGGATGAAGACCCTACACGGAGACTGTGGATGCTCCACGTCCGAGAAGGCAGTAAGGAGAAGGCGGAGAGGGAGGGGAGGCTCGGGAACACACACCCCACCCAAAAGCCCACCTGGCTGCAGCGAGAAAGGAAAGGTTCTGGAACCTCAAAGCTTTCGGCTGCAAGAGGAGCAAGACAATCCCATCATAGACATAAAGACCTGAGCTTGGAAAAGTACAAAGGGAAATGTTCCATTGAAAGCGTATTGGCTAACCAGACTATGCAAGCTTGAATTAACAGTGGTGGCTGATACGACATGTAGGAAAAGTCAGGAAATTACAGACTTGAAATGGTGTTGGAAACAGAATACTGGATTCAGTTTGCTTCCCCAGCAGAAGTATTCGGTAGGCAGGAGTAAATGACCTGTACTGCTGGCTAAGCTTATTAACATCTTTTTGTTTGTTTTTTTTCTCTCACGAAAATGAGTCAGTTGCAGGATCCAAACGCCTGAAGATGGTACGGAAAATACAGTAGTTTGATCCTTCCACTCTGGATTGTACTCCTCTTCTTATCTGGGGAAGACTAACTTACAAGCCAAGTGTAAGGTGAGGAAAAGGTAAGATGCATGAGGACCATAGCTCACAGAGGTCTTCTGGCAGGGAGACGTGTGCGGGCTCCATTGATGCGGATGACCAGGGCGAGGGCGGCAACCCCTCCTCACCGCCAGCCTCAGTCCCCGTCCCCCAAACTCAGACCTCTTCCACCCAAAAGGCAGGGCTGCGGGTCAGAGGGTAAGCTTATATGAGGAGTAAGTGACTGGGGAAGAAGGATGCCACACATGAAGAAGCCAGATAGATATGTCTATGTACGTATTAATGTGATTATAGAGATGCCCACGAGTATGCTTCTTTTTTTTTTTCTTTAATGGCAGCACAAGCGGCAAAGCTGGGAGGAAGGCTCTCTGCAGATTCCAAAGTGCTGGTGCGTGATGGGCTCTAGGAACAGAAAGCCAAGTGCAGATGGAAACCGAGAACTCCCCAGCTCTGCCAACTAGAGTCCTGTCGAAAGGCGGTAAGAACGGAAGCATGGGAGCAGCTGCAGGTCCTGCACCCCTCCGACAGCTTTCCCCTCATGCCTTGCGGGGGGTGGGGAGGGCTCCACTAGGTGGAGGAGGAAAGCCAGGGACAGGTGGAGAGCCCCCACTTCTGCGGCAACTCTGAAGTCACCCCTTGGGTTGCCCTCAGAGGTCTCCAGTTGCCCCCCCGGGGTTGAAAGGGTGGGGCGGGGAGGTGACTGCGTGTTCACGCCTCTCCCTTGCTCTCTTACCACTGGCCCGCATGGAATTCCGAGATGAAAATGAAGTTCCTGTTCGGAGTTTCTGCAGGTGGTTGAAGCGATCCTTCGGAAAACTCCTGGCTATTTATTGCATTAGGAAACAAAACCATTAAAGCATTGAAGACAGCCCTTGTGTGTCCCTGCCAAGGAGATGAAGTGGACTTGCAACGGAGGAGGTTGCACTGCAACCTCGGGGTTCTTCGCCGAACTGTGCCGCGTCTGCATCGTCCAGATCTGCTTTTTGTGGAGGAGGAGTCGGCCCGCAGGGCGTGCGCATGCGCAGTGAGCGGGGGCCGCAGTGGCCGGTGGCGGGAGGCGGCTACTCCATGCCGCTCCGCAGGATCTGGTTGGCAGCGATCAGCATGACGCTGATGATGAAGGCCATGGCGAAGGCGCAGATGAGGCTCTTCCGGACGCAGGTCTGCCTGTTCTGTTTCTGGGAGTGCACTGGGGGAGGAGGAAAGGGGGAGAGAGGAGAGACAGGACACAGTGAGATGAGACAGGCTGCACCTCTTCCTCAACAAGCCCGAGTCCAGGCCACAGGATTCAGGCTGGTCCAGTCCATTTCTGGGACCACTCTGAACATCTGAACGTGTTCTGGCAAATGGTATAAAACGGTGAGGCTTCTATACCAAAGACGGTGACAAATGTGATGTCAGGGAGTCAGGTCTAGATTTCCAGATGTAATAGAGTCTCTGTGACTTTCTGAGGGAGGAAACATGGAACCTTTCAGAGTGAGTTTCACAAAGGGGCATCAGCAGGGCCCTGCCATGGCCGTTTCTGCGGAATGCCTGGCTGCCACATCTGAGGCGGCTGATCACAAACAGCCGTATGGAGCCGGAAGCAGCTTACCTTTCTCAGGATTGTTCTTGGGTGGCTGTTGGTCTAAACTGTAAGCAACTTCCGGCATTATTTTCTATGTGCCCACAGTGATTCTAGAGAGGGGTCCCTGGGCAAGCAGTGTCTGCATCACACAGGGCTGCAGATTTTTTAGCCCGGCTGGTATCTGGTGTGGCTCAGTGGTTGAGTGTTGACCTATGAACCAGGAGGTCACAGTTCAATTCCCAGTCAGGGCACATGCCCAGGTTGTGGGCCCAATGCCCAGTAGGGGGTGTGCAGGAGGCAGCCGATCAATGATTCTCTCTCATCATTGATATGCCTATCTTTCTCCTCCTCTCCTCTCTGAAGTCAATACAAATATAGAAAAAAATATAGATATATAGATATTTTTTTAAATGCAGCTTTTCAGGTGGGGCCTCACCCCAGATCTACTGAGTCAGTGACTGAGGATTAACTGGGTGATCCTGGTGCATGCTGATGTCTGAGAAGTGGGGACCAATGCATCTAGACAAGACCGGTATGAAGATCCTGTGGCCGCAGGGGTCTGACCTTGGGCCCTGGGATTGTGGACTCTTCATCCTTTTGTCGGGCCAGCTCTTGCACCACTTTTCTAAGGCCCACCATTAGTGGCTCTCAACCACAGGGCATTAATTAGTGGGTTATTAATATGGACCACGAATTTGGAAATAACAAGAATGAATTTTGGTAACGTGTGCTGAGAAAGAACAAGTCTCTTTTCCAGGCATCACTTCCCAGGCCAGATTTCTTTTTTCCTCCTTTTTGTCTACACCTCCTCCCCTCCTGTCCTGTCCTGCAGTGATCTTGCACACAGTGTACTGCTTAGTTTATGGAAGAAACCTGTGCCCTGGAGGCTCCCTACACCAGAGCTTCTCACTGGAGCATCAGCACCAGGTGAGTTTGATATAAACGCGGATGCTCAGGCCCCACTGAATCAAGAATCTCTGACGGTAAAGGCCAGGAATGTGTTTTAATAAACTTGACAGGTGATTAGGGGGTCACTGGGCTCAACCCCCAAAGTTTTGATTCCGTATGTGTGGGTATAGCCAAAGAATCAGAGTTTGAGTTGCTGGGGACAGGAGGTAGCTGTTTGTGTGTGTTAGGGACACTGGGGAGGGGGTATGAGGGGAGATGATTCTTCATATTCAGATGTTAAGAAACCCAGTGCTGGCACAGAACCTGGAAGTACCTCCCATTTGAGAAAGGGACCATTCTGCTAGACTCGCCTTTAAAGAGCCTTTAAAAATGTTCCATTTCAAGTACCTCTCCCTTTGACATCGGTGGCTCCTCGGATCCCTGGAAATGACGGGAAAGCAGTAGGAGTCCAGTGATGTGTCCAAAGGCAAACAGCTCTCACTGAGAGAAGGGGCCTCTAAAAGTTCCATCCATCGGGGAGTTTCTACAGCACCCACCCTTCACAGAGACCAGTGCCCAGGCGCAACTTCCCTCACCAATGAAGGTTGGTTATTGCTGCCATCATCTCTTGTTATTTCTAATTCCTGTTATCTTGTTATCTTTAATTCTTCTGGACCCACTAGGCTTCTACCTCCCTTGGGTAATTGGAAGTCTTTTTGATTCAGTTCTTTACTTGCTGATCATGTCTAGGTTTTAGAATCTATAGGTTCTTAGCAGAAGGAAGACAATCCTCTTGTGCAGAGCTGTGCCTCCCCTCCCCCAGGATGGGCAAATGTGAAGATGCCAGCCCCTCAGGAAGGGAAAGGGAGGTGGCGCTTGAGAAGGAAGGACTGAGGCAGAAATAAAATGTGATGTGGAAGTAGCATATCTAACACTTTCTGAGGACTGGCTAATTTATTCTGAGCAGCTCCTCAGCATAAAATGTGTCTGCAGGCAGCCGGCTGCCTTGCCCTCCTGAGGCTGGCGGGGGCTCAGGGAAAAGGACGGTTGTGTGACTGGGCAGCGGAGAACGTTTCTGCCGAAGCCCTCACAAAACAAGGTTACAGGGTGATCTCCCAGGACAGAGGCTGCACTTTGACCTAAAACCCTTAAGTAGTAGGAGGAGAGAGATGGAAGGAGGCAAGGCCAGGAGTTTGTACATGAGGCCAAGCAAATCTGAACCCAGACCAGAATCCTGCAAGCTGAGTGGAGCTTCCAGCTCATTCCCCTGGAGCTCTGAAACAGATCGCTTGTCCATAATTCAGACTCTGCCCGGATGAGGGTCCTTTTATGCCCAATTCTGCCGTCACTCTAAGTTTTACAGCAGAGTGAAAAAATGAGGGCTTCAGAACCAGACCAAAAGTGATTATCTTACATCCTAGCTGTGTGACTGTGGGCAAGCTAATTTCCCTGGGCCTCAATTTCCTCACCTGTAAAAAGCAGGTAATGAAAACCTACTTTGATGTAAAGAGTAAGGATATAGGAAGGTACTGCAATAGTTTGTGCCCAAAGGATGTGAATTCCCTTTTGCAATAAAAAACAACTCCCCTTTATGTATTGAGCACCCCCTCCCATGTGAGCTAGCTATTCGCTCCTTTATTGCAGTGTGGCAGTCCTTCGTGAGCTGGGCATGGGGGTCCCTGTTTAATAGGTGAAGGGCCTAAGCGCCAAGAAGTGGAGTCCAAGGCCATTTGGCAAAGGTGGAGGTAGGATTTGAGCCCAAGTATAATTTTAAGATCCAGGTTCAAAATTCCGGTACACACACTCTATTCCGAGTCTTTTGCTTGGCAGGGCAGAGTTCAGCAATAGAAAGATCCAAAGAAAATGCACTTTCGACACTTGGTGTGATTGGCAGGGAATAGTCCGGCACTAATTAATGTGTTTGTTGGTAATTTGAGGCCTGTCTTTGGCTGTCACACATTTGCCTCACACTGTATCTGTGAATATTTGTTTATTATCACAGTCTTTGCTTAGTTTCCCCAACAAGACTGTGGGTCAGCCTGGGGTGCATGGGGAGTTGAAGTCTGGTTTCCTTGGCTAACTGCCACTTAGGAGCAGCCCTGGGCTTCCTGCACCCGCTTCTCTCCCTGTGAAGGAGCTAATGATCACCATCCTTCTGAGCTCAAGAATTCTTTTTAAAGATCAATGAGCTAATAAAGAAAGTGAAAGCTGTGTCAAACCCCGAATCACAAGAGAAATGCAAGGTTTCCTTCTCGGATCCCTGGAGGGCAGGAGGGAAGGCCTGCTTTCCCCCTCTGCCCTGCAGCCTGCAGCACAGCACTGAGGATCCAAACCTCTGCATCCGCCCCTTCCCTCATTCATTCATCCGCACTGCGGCTAGATGCACCTTCCCAAAGCAGTGCTTCTTCGCATGCACGCATCCGCACCCCTGCAGCCTTCCTGCAGAGGCCCCGTGCTGGGAAAAGCATGTTCCTTTCATCCAGCTCCTAAGCTCAGTGGGCAGGACCCCAGATCACCTCTGCCCTTAGACCACCACATCCGCCTCAGCTCCCAGCAATCTCTGTCTCAGCCAAGCAGGTCTCTGGCTGTTCTTTACAGGAAACTCTGCTCCCAAAGGGCCTGGTCTTTTAATCTTTTAAATGGTCTAGCTGTTCATTTGTATTTATTTTAAATTGAGACAGAAGTCACACACCATAAAATCCGCCCTTCTAGAGTGTAGCATTCAGTGGCATTTACTACAATCACAAGGATTTGAAACCATCGCCACTACCTAATTCCAAAACATTTTCATCCTTTAGTATGATGGCTAAAGGATGAAAACCTATCCAGCCCTGGCTGGTGTTCTCAGTGGTTAGAGCACATGTGTCAAACGCAAGGCTCGCGAGCCAAATCCGTCCCGCCAGGCCTTGCAATGTGGCCCGCACCACGCTGTCATCACTGCACTCCGCTGCGTTTCCATCACAATGACAGTTTATGACTGTTCAGTAAACCATTCGGCCCGCGATTTAGGCTGGATTTTAGATTTTGGCCCCTTCTCTGATTGAGTTCGACACCCCTAGGTTAGAGCAATCAGCCACCATACTAAAGGACTGAGGGTTCAATTCCTGGTCAAGAGTACGTACCTGGGTTGCAGGTTCAATTTCAGGGGCAAGTTGGGAGGCAACCAATCGATGTCTCACCTCTCTCTCCCTCCGTCTCCCTCTCTCCCCCTTCCGCTCTCTAAAAAATCAATGGAAAAAATATCCTCAGATCAGGATTAACAAACAAAAGAAACCCCATCCACATTAGAAGTCACTTCCTCCTTCCCCCTTCTCCCCAGCAACTGGCCATCACTAACCTGCCTCCCTCTCTGGGCTTGCTCATTCCTGGCCTTGTATGTACATGAAACCATACGATAGCTAGCCTTCTGTGCCTGCCTTCTTTTCACTTAGCATAACCTTTCCAGGTTCATCATGTGTAGCATGTATCAGTATTCCATTCCTTTTTATGACTGAATAATATTCCACTGAGTGGATATACATTTGTTTATCCATTAACCAGTTGATAGACATTTAGGTTGTTTCTATTTTGTTGTTGTTTACTATTATGAAAAATGCTACTATAAATATTCGTGTAAAAGTTTTTATGTGAATATATTTCCAGGGTCCTAATCTGGGTGCCATTAATTGCTGGGTCCCATGGTAACTCTGTGTTTAACTTCCTGAGGAAGCTGTTCCTTTTGGACCTTAGGAACA